GCAAAGCACAAGGGACCGTGGTTCAATCCCCCAGCACCACATGCCAGCCCGCCCCGCCCCCTGGTGGGCTGAGCTGGACACACACACACACACACACACACACACACAAAATAAATAAATAAAAAATAATTTATAAAAGGGGAAGTGAGGTGACCAAGCCCATGGCAGAGCTGGGACCCGACCCAGCCTGTCTCACTAGAGTGCCGCCATCGTGAGCTGCTGCCCAGGTGGCTGCGGAGTTGGCATGCCCAGGACAGCCGCTAGCAGCTCTTGGAAGCTGAGTGTCCTGGTGCTGTTTGTGTGCAGTTCAGCAATGTCACTTAGTAGTATGACACTTGCTACTGTAGGAAATTGGCAAATGCTACCAGTCAGGGCTCCCCTTCCCCACTCCTGGAGAGCTGGTGGGCCAAACCTCACACCAGATAGCCGTCCTGGGACCAAGGTGGCATTGTGGCCTTAGCTTCTCTGGTGATATATGCTCATGTATCCTCAGCGGTGCCCTAGAGAGGGATCGGGGGCAGATGTGTGTGTGGACATTGGGGGCATCAAAGGACAGGGCTGGGACTCAATTTCTGGGGCCTGCCTGACCCCCGAACCTCTGGCCCCCTCTTCCTCTGGAGTCCCTTGCAGTTAGACACCCAGGCCCCCGAGACCTCCCAGCTGTGAGGCTGGCTCGGTGCTATGCTGTCCGATGGGCACAGAAGAGGAGGCTCAGAGAGGGCCAGAGTCCCTCTTCTGTCCCTGATGCTTCACTGTCCTCGTTCCAGTCCTGCTTTGCAGTCCGGTTTTCCATCAGATCCCAGACACTGACAAGGACTGGAACAAGTGGCTGACGTGTAAAGAGGATGAGGAGATGGGTAGGAACCGGGGTAGGGGTGAGCTCCTCAGCTGGCTCCTACCCAGAACCTGATGTTCCCTTGGCACAGGCGTGAGATGGGGTTGCACCGGGAAGGTTTGCTGCTTGACAGTGACAAAGAGACCCCTGGCTTCATCTTTCAGCACAAGTGCCCCCTAGAGCTCACCTTTGCTTCTGCAGAGAAGAGGGGCTTTTGCAAAGAAGCCTAATCATTAGCCAGGTCCAGGACTTCTGACTCTTGCTGTGGGCATTCTTGGGCCAAGTCACATGCTCCAGAGAGCCCAGGCCAGGTTCCTTTGGCTGAAGTTTATTTATTGAGTGATGAATTGCAGTGTTGGAGATGGAACCCCTGCCCCTTTTTAATTTTTAACTTCTTTTTTTTTTTTTTTTTGGCAGAACCAGGGATTGAACTCAGGCCCTTGTGCTTGCCAGGGAAGCACTTATTCCACTGAGCCATCTCCCCAGCCCCTCTTTTTAATTTTTGAGACAGGGCTTCACTAAGTTGCCCCAACTGGACTCAACTGCCTCAGGCTCCCAGAGTGTTGGAATTAAAGCCACAGTGGCCAGGCCCCAGCCTTGTGGTTGGATGAAAGGGCTTCTCTGAAGATGTAGTTGTCCCCGTCACAGGAAGTCCCCAGGGAATGGTTAAGCGGACAGGAATGGGGTGACACATCCGGAGAGCTGAGACAGGGACTCCACGGAGCCAGGGCTGCCCGGTGTGCAAAGAAGGGTCAGATCAGAGCCAGGCAGGAGCCAGTGCTGTACTAGTGGGTGTTGAAAGGTCTGGATGGGGCTCAGGGTCTAATGAGATTTATGTGGTTGTGAAGTTGCCCAAGTTAAAAAAAACGATCCTCTGATTACTGCCCCTCCCCCTTACCTACCGTACAGAGTCCCGGCGACCCCCACCCCCATCCCTCTCCCGCAGGCCCTGGCTTGCATTTCATCCCGCAGTGGGCCCGCCCTGGGCCAGTTTTAGTGAAGTCTTTGAATAATGCCCTCTCCCACCCGCTCCCCGCCAGGCTGTTTTATTTTGATCAAGATCAGTAGCTTGGGCTTGGGACCAAGGAGAGGAGGAAGAGGGAGAGGGAGAGAGGGAGGGGGAAGGAGGAGGGGGAGGGGGAGGAGGAGAGGAGGAGGAGAAATCTGCCGCCCTGCGCTGAGGCCAGCGCCCCACTTCCCGTGAGCAGGGGCCTCTCCCATGCCCGCTCTTGGAGCTCCTCCCATCCTTTCTGGCCCGCTGTCTTCATCTGGGTTTTCCATCAGATCCCAGACGCTGGCAAGGAAGTGAAGTCAGGAGCAATGGAGTCTGGGCTGCCGTGACTGCTGACCCCAAGGACTCCCAGCCCCGACTCCCTTTCCGGTCCCCCTCCCTTGCACGCAGCGCAGCTCTTGTAGGTGGACTTCCTGAGCCACCTATAGGCCCCTGCGGGAGCTGCTGCTGGGCGGCAGCTTCCCAGCCTGGCTCCAGGGGGCGCTCTCGGCAGCTCTTTCCCAGAAGGTCTTGGCCCCAGCGATCCCCAGCCCTTCTCTCATGGGAGGGTTCCAAGCGCTGCTCTGGAGGATGCAGGAGGGAGCTGAGAAGGGAGGTGTGGTGATGGGGCCGGAAGTCTGGAGACAAGACCCCACTCTGCTGGACCACAGCTTCCCTGAGACTCTGTGTTTAACTCCAGGGCTCAGCCTCCCCCACTAATACAGGCTGTGTAGTGTGGAATGATTGTCAAGGTCCCCTGTAGTTGGGGCAACCAGAACATTATGGAAAATCCTTCAGCCCTGGATAAACCTGGATGAATGGTCCCCTATTTCCAATTCTAGCCAATAGGGAGACCCTGACATCACTCAGGAGTTGAGTTCATATCCAATTCATGTCTGCCTCGTGGCCAGTCCAGGCCCAGTATAGAATAGCGCTTGGTGATATTTTGGTGAAGAGAGAAAAGCCATAAGAAACAGAAGGAGCTGGCTGTCAGCCCCAGTGTCTGCTACATGGTAGCTGTTTATGGCTTTGAACAAGTGAGTTCATTCTTTCTGTGCTTTTGGTTTCCTAAACTTTAAAATGGGTATGCTGTAAATAACTGTGTTCAAAGTTGGAGCTCAAGAAATACCTGTTAAATAAGCAAAGAAAAAAAAATTGGTAAGATTGAACTTCAGGGGAAAGATATGTTCAGTCTGTTAACCCACAGCCCATCTTCTTTAAAAATGTATGCTTTTTAAAAGCATATGGTACTGGGGATTGAACTCAGAGCCTTTTAATTATACAAATCAAACGTACATGGGGCCGAGGAGATGGCTTAGTGGAATAAGTGCTTCCCTGGCAAGTGCAAGGACTTGAGTTCAATCCCTGGTTCCGCAAAAAAACAAAACAAAACAAAAAACCCCATATGTTTTGCATTTCAAGAGTTAAGCTCTTTTTGGGCAAGAAGGTTGTCCCATTAGTGGCCACTCCTCTCTTTTGCAGGCAGATTGACAGGTGTCTTTCCACTGGGGAAAGTGTTCCTTTTGTCCCCTGCATGGGCCCTGGTTCTGTCCACTGATGCCCTCTGCTGTCCTCCCCCCCACCCCCAGGCGGGAGACCTTTGATTTTGATGATGACTGTGACAGCCTGACATGGGAGGAGAACGAAGATACTCTACTGCTCTGGGAAGATTTTACTAACTGCAACCCAAGCATCGACCTGCAGGGCGAGGTGAGCGGGGCCTCGGGCTCCCCACCACCATGATCCCTTCTCCCTGTTTTCCCCTTAGGGCCCCCACCACCCACCTCATCTGTGCTTTCTGTGTTGCTTCCCCAGCAGGAAGAAAATTTGGGCAACCTGATCCACGAGACCGAATCCTTCTTCAAGACGAGAGACAAGGAGTACCAGGAGACCATAGGTCAGATCGAGGTAGGGCTCAGGTGTGGACCCTAGAGGGGTCCCTAACTGAGAACTCCCAGCTGAGCACCCCCGTGGGCCTCAAGTGGCAGAGCGAGGCAAGCAGAAGCTAGATCCCTGCTTAGCCCTGGGGACGTATCCTTCTTATAGTCTTAGATTCCTAATCTATAAACTGGAGGTGTGAACCACAGGCTATGGGCCTAACAGTTGTATAACTGAGAGTTAATGCTCTTAGCATGCTGGGGAAAGGCAAGGCTGGGAGAACTACCATTGTCAGAGGAGAAGGGCCAGAACCATGAGGGAGACTTGGGCAATCTTCTATTTATGTTGTTTTTTTTTTTTGTGGAACCGGGGATTGAACTCAGATCCTTGCGCTTGCCAGGGAAGCGCTTATTCTACTGAGCCATCTCCCCGGCCCCAGGAATCTTTAATTGAGGCCAGGTAGAGGAGCCCAGTGACTGTGGCTGGGCAGATGGGCGTCCCCAGAACTGGGCGGGGCTTACCAGGATGGGCCTATTTGGGTTGCTAGGCAGCCACGCCCCTTTGGCCAAGAGCACTTCCAGATGGTGTGGACCAGTGCGCAGACAGCAGAGGGCAAGGGAGGTTCATGTCCAAGAGGCTAGGTACTGAGGACATGGTGGCTTCAGCGGTACCACCAGTGAGGCACTGAGGAGGGAGGTTTCTGAGGGCTCTTCTGAAAGAATGGCCAGTCCTCACTCTTGGTCCCTGTTGGCTCCTCTCAGCTGGAGCTGGCCACAGCCAAGAGTGACATGAACCGACACCTACATGAGTACATGGAGATGTGCAGCATGAAGAGGGGGCTGGATGTGCAGATGGAGACCTGCCGCCGGCTCATCAAAGGCTCCGCAGACAGGTACTTGTCCATCCTCCTGGGATTCAGTGGGCTGCACCTTATAGCCTGGCCGCATGCTGTTCCATCCTGTCTGTCTACCCATCCAGTGACTATCAGTACCCCTGCTATGTCCTAGGGATTTACACATCTAAGCTCCTGGAATTTCCCCAACAACTCTGCCCCCGCTGCTTCAACAGATAGTTGTTGCAGGTCTGCTGTGTGTAAGACTAGGAGGATGTGGTGGTGAACAGCTGGGATCTCTGCCCTCGTGGAGCTTCTGCCCCACCTTATGTGGAGTTGAGGCATGGGAGAGGCGGGCTGGACACCTCTCCACAGCTTCTGAATGGGCTCCCAGCTAGCCACAGGCAGAGCTTTCCCTTTCATTCCTGTCTTCCAACCCAGGGCCAGCTGGGTCTGCCCCCAGGAGACTGCTGTGTTATCAGGCATGACACACAAGGACAGAGCCCTGCTGTGAGCACAGATAGCCTTGTTGAGGGACAGACACACTGGTACTAGAGTAAGGTAACACCTGGAAAATGCTTCACACAAGCCATGCATGCGTGACCATCTTCCTGTACAAGAAGCAGTGGGATAGGGGCTCAGCTCAACTCGTGGATCCTCCAGGCCCGCTGTTAGCACAGGCAGGTGGACAGCTTGCCCAAGGTCCCCAGCCACGTGTGACAGGGCTGGAGCTGTGATGAAGTGCTGCCAACCTCCATCCTCTGTAGCCTGCTCTGAGTTATCTGGGGTGTACTGAGCCTGTCCTGTGTGCCTGGACTTGGGTTGGATAATTGCAGGATGAGAACCAAACTTGGTCTATGTCTGCTGCTTCCTAGAAGAGGGTCCCGAGAGGTCTGGGAGGCCACAGTCAGGTGTTATCCCTTAACAATACATAAAAGAACTTTGTGTCTCTCAGATTAGCCAGGCCTTCCAAGAGATTCAAGCATGCTAAGGAAAGAAGCCAGGGCAGGGCCCCTCTGAGGGCAGACCTCACGGGCACGGCTGCTCGGCCTTCCTGCCCCACACCCCTCTGACCGTCCCCCATTCTCCTGTGCTTCACAGGAATTCACCGTCACCCAGCTCTGTGGCCAGCAGCGATTCAGGAAGTACAGATGAGATCCAGGATGAGTTGGAACGGGAAGCAGATGTGGAGCCCATGGTCAGCTGATGACGGGGGCCCTGCGTGCCCGGGGGTCTTGGTGATGGGGCCCCAGCCCCCTCTGTCCACTGGGCCAGGAAGGCTCCTCGCAATGGGTGCCAGTCCTCGCCATAGACTTCCTCTGCCCTCCCTTCTCTGGAAGCCCCGAGGGACTGCTGCTTCCGTCCTTCGTTCCATCCACACCACCCCAGCCCTGACCAGTGCCCCTTCTCCATCCGCCCACCTACTCACCCAAGGAATGGTGCTGTCAATTTCTATTGTTCTCCACATTACAAATGCAGACTTCTGTCCGGACGATGCAGTGCTAACTGTGCCTTCTCCCTTAAGCTGAGCCACTTTGAGCTCCAAAGAATTATTCCTAGCAGGTGTTTTTATACAAAACTCTAAGGTGAAAGAGGGGGGGCTGGGTGTGGCATCGAGTGGGTTTTCTACCCTCCCACCTGCTCCTGATTGGCCATGAGCTTTGCCCTCCCTTCTGCTGGCGTTGGCGCTGGTGCTGTCACTAGCTGACTCTGAGCTTGGGGTGATTTGCTGTCCCCAGGAGGGAGCCAGTCAGTACCTCCAGGCCTGGGTGGGGACCTCTCAAACTTTCTCACTCGCTGGAAGAGAGAAAAGTGGAAGGGAGGGAAGACCAATTTTTTATTTTCTTTCTCAGATTTAGTGGCAAAGTGGAGGGATAAGGCACTGTGGGGGGAGTAGGTGGAGCCTCACTGTGTTTATAAACTACTATGCAAAAACAAAAACAAAAACAAAAAGCAGCTTGCCTTATATTATTATGGAAGGCAGGCCCTCCCTCTCCCAGACTCTTGGTTTCCCCAGGGCTGGGCGCTCACTCGCAGCCTCCCTGGGGAGCACTGGCTGGGAGGTGGGCCAGTAAAGGTCGATGTGGTGGGCTGCGTTCCCGCTGGGCCAGCCCACCTGACTGCTTGCTTTCTTGGGACCTCTGTGGGGTTGGGGTGTGGGTGGGTCTTTTATTGTCCTGGTGACTTGCTGCTCCTTCCCTTCCTTCTCTGGCCAACAATAAAGGGGTGTAGAGCTGTAATTTCTCTGTGAGAAAGATTGGAGAGGCCAGGCCTGGTACCACTCAGTCGGCGGTGGAGCTCAGGGGAGGGCCAGCCCGATGCCATCCTGGTTTTCCGCTGTCCCATGGTCACCTGCTGTTGGTGCCGGCAGCAGAGAGATGGGCAAGGGGAGGGGAGGAGGGGATGGCGGCTGCAGGTGGCTTGTGTGGGAGCTGAGAGGGGACCACCCTCATTCCCCTGGGGGACACGCAGAGGCCTCTTTCTGTAGCAATTCTTTTGACCTCTTGGGGAGTTCATCTGAGCCAGTATCTCCCCTTGCTGGAGGGAATCTGAGCTGGGACCAGGCCAGCAAGCAGGCTTTGCTTCCCGTGCCCTCCATTTTCCTCCCTTTTTTGGGCCCACCACAGTGGGGTGAATGCCCATTTGGAAAAATGTTGGCCGAAGAGCTCCCTCTGGAGGGCAAAATGTGCTTGAGACCTAGAGCTCAGCAGGGTGGGTGAGGAGGTCCAGAGGGTGCTGGGCTGGAGGGGACAAGGTTCTCCCCCTGAGCAGGGTGTCATTGGATCTGTGTGGACCTTCTCGCTCTTCCGCTCTCCTTGTTTGGAATCCTAAAACCATTGTACATAATACACACGTACATGTATATAGAGAGTGGGAATGTGTCAGTGACTGTGTGATATAATTTATCAAGAACTTCCTCATGAATTTCCCCCCTTGTTTTGTTTTGTATTGTTGGGAAAATATCCCAATTGGTCCCTCTGTACTCTGGCTTTGAGACTTCTGTCCTCATCATGTTTTTTTTTTAATTAATTTTTTTTTTCTTCCCAGTGCTGGGGATTGAGCCCAGGGCCTTTGTACTGAGCAATATCCCCAGTCCTTTAAAAAAAAAAAAAAAAAAAATTTTTTTTTTTTTTTTTTTGTGTGCTTGTTTCTGTGTTTGTTTTTTGAGACAGGGTCTTGCTAAGTTGTCCAGGCTGGGATTGAACTTGCAATCTTCCTGCCCCAGAGTGCTGGGATTATAGGTGTGAGCCACCACACCTAGTTATCCTCATCATCTCTTGTTATCCAAACTGTCCCTTTTGGCAGGTACTTGAAGGGACAGTGGTTCTGGAGGAGAGACAGCCCCTTTCGCTTCTCCTCGCCAACCATTGTTCTAAAGGTTACAGGGTTCAGACATACCTGATTATTATTGTTGATGTTGTTATTGTTGTCTTATTTTTATTTTAACCAAAGGTTATCAGAGCCAATTGGGCTTGGACCTCAGCTGCTGAAAAGATTTTCCGTTTCCACAAGGGCAGAAGATGTGGCCCTGTGGTCTTACTGCCCAGGGCTGAGAGGCACCCAGGGGCGGTTTGGGAATTGGGTGGGCAGAGTGGATGCCAGTTCTGGGTTCTTTGAGGTGATGGGAGGGTGACAGATATATCTTTAGAGTTAAGAGAGTTAAGCAATAGGATTAGTATTGGGGCGGTAACGGAGGTTACCAGGGCGACGGGTGTCTAGCTGTGTTTTGTTTTCTCCCTTGTACTACATATAGGTCATTTGTCTTTAGGGTGCTCTGAATTTAGCAAAGAAGCATGAAAACAGCAGCCTCCAGAGAGAGAGACTCTGGCCTAAAAGTCCCTTCCTGATGGCTTTCAATAGCTGCTTTCCTCTGGGGGGGGGGGTCGAGGCTTCAGGGCAGGTGCAGGAGGAGAGGAGAGGCAGGGCCTGGTGAACCTTCCTCCAGGGCTGGTTCCTGGGTCTGGGTCTGGGTCTGAATCTGGCTACCTCCCATGCCACTAAATCCACTTTTAAGTTAGTTGCCAGTGAGCCCATAGCTTGCCAAGAAAGACCCCACTGCTTACTGGGGCAGCACCAGGCCCTGGTGGGACGAACTGGTCCGTCCTTTGTAAGGCTGTAAATACTTAATTTTTTTTTTTTTTCTATTTCTAAGCCCAGTGTCATATTGACATTGGTATTTTGGAGTTATTCTCAGATGGGTTCCCCTATGTTGCCCTCTCTCTCACTCTCCTAGTGTTAGGGGTTTTACATACACTGATGACTGGGGAGTAACCGGGATATAATAGCCCCCTTGGGCTCCCTGGTTGGTTAGGAAACATACGCATACGTGCACACGCGCGCACACACACATGCGCACAGGCCCACTCTTCCGAGACTAAAGAGGGGTCAAGGGTATTGGCAGAGCAAACACCTTTTTTGCTTTCTCGTGGCACTGTGTCCTGAGGGCTCTGGAGGAGCCATCCACTGGGGACTTAGCTCTGGGGGCAGAGCTCCGATGACCCATGGGGAGCCTACCCACTTCTGCTTGGGGTGGGAGAAGAGGGCGTGGGGACAGTGATCGCGTAGGGTGTAACTTAAGCTAAATGTAATCTATTTATAAAGCAAGAGACTCTCATCTATTTTTATGAAAGGAAAGGGTTTTTAATCTCAGGTAGGCAGTTGTGGCAGCCAGCAGTTTTCTGTGGAGGAGATATTGTGCGTGTTGCCGCTGGATTTGATGTACCTGGTACCCCTACCCCTGCCTTGTCTTCCTGTCCACACTCTGATTGTTCACACTTGTGGGTGGCCTCAGCCAGGCCCACTAAACAGGGTTTGCTTCTTGTGTGACCCTTCAGCTCCTTAGAGGTCTTCTGGGGGTTGCTCGCAGCTCCCCCAGAAGACCTCTAATTCTGAACTCAGATGGGGGGGGGGAGTACTAGAAAGGGGCCAAGCTCTACCCAGTACTTCCTGTTTCAGAGGGTAGGCTCTGATTACCGGCCTCAGCTCTGCTCTGCAGAGACCCATTTCGAACTCAGCTGCCTTGGAAGAGGGCTGAGAAGCAGCAGAGTGTGGTCGGCTGTAGGGCTGTGGGGTTGGGGAGCATACCACCTCCTTTGGGCCTGGGCCTTCACGGGTCTCAGGCTGTCAGGCCGCTGAGGCAAGAGAGGCAGTAAGGTGCCCAGTGCCCACTGCTGGCTGTGCCTGCTGCAGGTCAAGCACTGCGCTGCAGTCCTGTGCGCCTGGATGACGGACCAAAGAGCCAGGTGTTTCCCGAGGCTCGAGTCCTCTTCTTGGGACACTGAATTGGCTCTAGAAAGGCACTGACCTGGAGCTGGGAATCTGGAGGTACCTGAAGGATATGAGAAAGTCAGACTCTGGAGGGAATTTCCCATGGGTGGAAGATTTCCAGTCCTGGGGTGGCCTTTCCCTTAGCTTAGGGAGAATCCCTCACCATCTCTCTCCTTCCTAAGCTCTCGAGGAAATGAGGCACAACCCCCTACCAACACCCCTTGTGGACATTTTAGCATCTACCTGGTTTTCAGTCCTGCCCTATCCCACTGTTGCTCTTTGTCTGCCAGCTGGATCTAACATCACTGGGCGGGGGGTTTGTACTCACAGAAAGACTACTGATCCTACCAGAAAACTAACCTGTTTACTGTACTGTTGTAAATATTGTGCCCTTTATATCCTGTATATTGGCTTCTTTTAAATAAAGTGAAATGTCTTAGAATTGATAGTGTATTTTTTTTTTTAACTGAGGGTGAAAGTGGGGATTGGACCCAAGGCCACATAAACACTAAAACTTATTAGTCGATGAGTGATAAAGGAAAGAAATTTCATATCACCTATTAATTTGCATCTCACAGTAAGATTTTGAGAAGACAATAAGGTAGGAATTATGAGATACACATTTTGCAAAAGGGGACAAGAGGGCTAGAGAGGACACAGGCTGTCTTCGTTGCTTTTCTCTTGTTGCTGAGATCAAGTACCTGACACCCACATTAAGGAAGGACAGGTTTATTTAGCTCACAGTTACTGGAGGCTTCAGTCCATACTCAGCTGGCTCCAACGCAGAGCAGCATATGGCAGAGGGCAGCCGTTCATGGTGGCGGAAAACAGCAAAAGCAACAAGAGCAAAAAGGGAGGTGGGTGGTAGAAGGCTCTTTCAGTCCCTTATGTTGTATATTACCCAATAGGGTGCATGTAGCGCTCACACCCATAATCCCACTACTAGACAATGAATCAACCACAGACTCTAGATTCAGCCACCCCATGACTGCTTGAGGCTTGGGGGGACATCTAGACACAGAGCATAACACAGGCTAAGCAGCAACGCTGGCTTGGACTTGAAATCCTGTTGACTCCTATCTCAGTTCCTCTTGTTGCTGGGACAAGTACCTGACACTTAGAATGAAGGAAGGAAACTGTGAGGTTTATTTAGCTCACAGTTACTGGAGGTTTCAGTCCATACTCAGCTAGGTCCAAGGCAGAGCGGCACATAGCAGAGGGCAACCTTTCATGGTGGTGGCGAAGAGCAGAGAGCAAAAGAGCAAAAGGGAGGAGCAGCAGCAACACTGGCTGCAGAGAGCAACTCTGTCTCCCTTAAGAGGCATTCAGGCTACCCGCCCCAGGCTGGGTGCGGCACTCACACCCGTAATCCCAGTGGATCATGAGTGAATCACAAACTCTGGAAGTCTACCTCATGACTGCATGAGGCTTTGGGGGGACAACTAGACACAAACCATAACAACCACAAAGCCCCCAGATCTCAAACCTCCTCATGGTGCTCTGAGGTCACCTCCTGGGACCCTGGTGTGGTATGGCCCAGTGTTCTCATTTCTTCTTCTTTTTTTTTTTTTTAATTTTGTGTGTGTGTGTGTGTGTGTGTGTGTGTGTGTGTAGCCAGCTCAGCCCACCAGGAGGCGGGGCTGGCTGGCATGTGGTGCTGGGGGATTGAACCGCGGCCCCTGTGCTTTCTTGCTAAACTTGTTCTAAGTAGGTGCTTTAGACCACTGAGCCATCTCACCAGCCCCTCTCATTTCTTCTTGTTAATGACCACATTCAGGGTACAACGGCTCCAGTGTGAGCCCACCTGACCAGGGTCTTCTCCAAAGACGACGAGAAACAGCCACTACCAACTCCAGTCGGCCTTTTGCCATCTGTAAGCCCTGACGCTTGCATAGCTGCCTTTTCCTATTACCCACTCTTCAAATGTTTACGTTTTCCCGTGTGTCTTAAATGGTGTGATCTGGGGATGAAGGAGTGGCTTGAGGTGATGGGGCTGTTCTGGGGTATTAATACTCCCATTTTATATTTATTTATTTTGTATTTTAGGGAAGGGTCTACAGGGTGTTCAGGGTCTCACTACTAGATGGGACTCATAGTGATCCACCTGTTTACAGCCTCCCAAGAGCTGGGATTACAGGCACGTGCCACCACGCCCAATCTCCAGGTGTTTCCCGAGGCTCGAGTCCTCTTCTTGGGACACTGAATTGGCTCTAGAAAGGCACTGACCTGGAGCTGGGAATCTGGAGGTACCTGAA